ATACACAAAATAATGTTCTTTTTAGCAGCATCATATGACCTCTTTAAATGTAGTCCAAACTTACATGATTCCGAAAACTCCAATGACTTACCAGGTAGTTAATGCAGTTCCTTGGTAGCATGCAATGCCTATCTGGACTTGTTAGATGACTGACTAAGAGAATATAGACTGACCTAGTATTGATGCCAGGAGTCATCAAAAAAAAAAAGTTGGGGAGAGTGTGACAGACTGGAAATATAAAAGTACTGAGTAATAATGGGCACCCCAAAATAATTTTTTCCCTCTTTCTTCAGATTTATTCTTTAAGAGACTCTTTAAAAATGTGTTCTAATGTTACATGAGTTTAAGTGTCTTCTGTAAGATGCCTGTAGGTGGCGCATTACACTAGAGTGATGAGCATTTTATGTTCTGGCCAAAGGGCAAAGAAAGCACCAGAACGCTGCAAATTCTAATCTGTCTATATCATCACTTCCTACAGTTTACTAGCTCTCATCCTTCCCTGTTTGAGACCGGTAACAAATACAGAAAAACAATGGTAGCTTTAGCAACATTAGCCTTACAGTGAGCCAAGAAGCTCTTTAGGAAAACAAAATATGACGCATGATGCTTACTTTGTTTGGAGTCTGGACGTTTGCGCATGAAGCAATCTTTGCACAACTCCAGCTCTGAACTAACCCTCGTTTGTGAGGCAGTCAGGCGTAAAATGATTAGCACAAACATATAGGACCTTTCCTTTGAAAATGAAATTTAACCACCGTGTCCTCAGTGGTCTATGGAGACTCCTATGTTCGTTGGTGCATCCCGAAACACAACACTTGTAATGCCTCTTTGGCGCTGACATTGTATCTCCAGCAGCTACAGCAAAAAAAAAAAACAGTAATGGCGGACTGCTGCTTCTCACTCAGGGCTGTGTCCTAATAAGGCAGAGAGCGTCACAAATGGGCGGGACTTTCCAGAGTATGACATCATAATAGGGAGAAATCTGGAACCGCTCGTTTGGAGACTTTATGATTTATTGGGATTTTTAAAAAATGAGTGGGTGGATTTTTACCATTATAGGCTGGTTGTTTTCACACACTGCAGCGACACACCTGTGTTCATTTTTGCATTCTATGACACCTTTAGATAAATAATTGTGTGTATGTATGTATATGTATATATACTGTACAGTCAAACCAAAATTTATTCACACACCTTGAACATTTCATACATTATCACAGTTTATTCGCTATAGTTTAGAAAATGGTAATAAAATATGACAAGAACTCATCTTGATAATGTCAGATAACACTAAAGCAAAACATGGTCAGGTCAAAGTGTCTGAATCATTTTTGGTCCCAAAGTTTTACTGGTAGTCCACGGTATGAAGAATTTTTGGGTATGTCACAGTTTACTTTATTTTGCTATCCTCACTTACATAAATTAACTATAGTGTCCTGCACCCACTAGTAAAAAAATATATAAAAAATTATATCTGATGTCTGTATATATACTAGACGGACAGTTTTTGTTTTATCCAGCTGTATTTACTCAGTGCAACTTATAACATCCAAGTGAAAGATATAACACCAACATGTCAGAAAAAACAGAAAACCAGAATCACTGAGTTGGAAAAAGGATCACCCCCTTGTGTCAGTATATTGTTGAAGCACCATTTGCTTTAATTACAGCCTTTAGTCTGTTGGGATATGTCTCTACTAACTTTGCACATCTAGACTTTGTGATATTTGCCCACTCTTCTTTGCAGAACTGCTCAAGTTCAGTTAAATTTGATGGTAACTGTTTGTGGACTGCAGTCTTCAAGTCATTCCACAGATTTTCAATTGGTTTAAGTCTGGGCTCTGACTAGGCCATGCAAGCAGGGCCATCCATAGGGGGGTGCAACTGATGCGGTCGCTTGAGGGGGCCCCGCTGTGAACGGACCGAGGGGGGCCCCGCTCCCTACCTCGCACTGGGCCCCGCGTCAGCTAAGGACGGCCCTGCATATGCAAGGCAGTGTTAATTTTGACTGGCATTTTTTATTTAGTCTTAGTCTTTATCTTGAGACGAAAATGCTTAATAGTCTTAGTCACATTTTAGTCATTTGAGTCTTTCATAGTTTTAGTTTAGTTTTAGTCGATGAAAAGTCATTGCATTTTTGTCAACTTTTAGTCATTACTTTTAGTCAAACTGCATTTTATTTATTTACATTTATTTTGGTAGCTATTTTATATGTAGTCTTCAAACAAAAATAGTCATTAATTCTTCTCTCTTTAGACCAAATCAATTAAGCTTATGAGAAATTTGAATCAAGGATTGAATTTTGAAAAACTTGAGTAAATTATGACAATTTTAATTTTTGGGTGAACTATCCCTTTAAGTCAAGTCAAGTCAAGTCACCTTTATTTATATAGCGCTTTTAACAATACAGATTGTGACAAAGCAACTGAACAGCATTAATTAGGAAAATAGTGTCAATAATGCAAAATGACAATAGTAAACACAAATTTTTCAGTTAAAGACAGTTCATCATTGAATGCAGTGATGTCAACATCCAGCTCAGTTTAAATAATATCTTTGCAATGATGTCAACGATAACGCTGGAAAAGAAGTGTCCCCAACTAAGCAAGCCAGAGGCGACAGCGGCAAGGAACCAAAACTCCATCTGTGACAGAATGGACTGTTTACTTTCACTTAATCCATAACTGACTGTATTTACGTGAGATACTCTACACGATAGACATTTGGACTGCTGTGTGTGTATTTGAGCACTGAGAACTGATCGCACATTGTATATGAGAACTGAAGAAGTGGAGTGTGCGCGAGAGAGAGCACTTCTATCAGCGCGATTCCGCCTATATATCGCCTTCACTAACTTTAAGTTAAACGACAACGAATTGTGACTCCCGGGAAAAACTGGACGTCTGGTCAGCTTATCCCTACCCTTTCAGGATGCTGAGGCCATTGTTTCAGATCGCTAGTTCACATTTTGGTAGTCTCAGCCTCAGACGTCACACCCACGGACCGTTGGCTAAACGTCTGATGCATATGGCACACAAAAGTGGAAACACTTCAGGAGTTTCGAAGTCGTCATCGGATTGGTTGAATTATTCAGGATTTCCGGGAGACGTGCGTTCTTTAACATTCCGCCTAGAAACAATGATAGCGTGCCGCCAAGTATTTTGGTAGCCTATCCATCCACTGCGGCTGCCATACTGAGACTAGATATGCGAACGCCCCTTATCCGATTGCCATCCAATGACAGGGATACACATTTTGAAGGACAAGACAGTAGCCTATAGGATGTGTTTTGAATGTCCGGTAGTCCACAAATAACATTATAGTCCCGTCTCGTCTTGTTAACGAAGATGCGGCATTAATTTCATCATAGTTTTTATCATCAGATATTAGTTTTAGCTCGTCAACGTCTCGTCTTAGTCACAGAAAAAAATTTCGTTAACGAATATATTGTAGCAAGTCTGAAAAAGTGTGTTATGCTGTCAGGTGTGATTTAAGTCAAATATGTTCTGTTCCTGTGTTTTGTGTTCTTTTTGCATGGGGTCTTTAAGGGGTGGGTGTTCTTCTGAAGAACGAGTCTGCGCACTCGTGTGTGGGTGGAGTCTGGGGGAAAAAGGTTCTGGAAGTGTTGTGAGTTCAGGGTGAGAGTTGAGCTCAAGCATTGGGTTCGCCTCGGGCGCTCTCGTGAATAAAAAGCAAGCTACAAAAGAAACCCGTCAAGTTGTCGTTTCCCTTACTGGATCGCTACACTGGTGTCAGAAGTGACCTAACCGAATCCAGCTGGTCTACGGGATTACTGACATTATTGTCCAGCAGCACGATGCGGAAGCAGACTCGAGAAAAAATCTGAGCCAGGCGCGAGCCGAATGTTTCAGGAGGCTCTGGGCACTTCGGCGTGGGCTTCTGATCGATTCGCAACAGATGGCTATCTGGATTCGCACAAGGCTCGTGTGAAGGAGGCTACGAGGAGGATGGCTGCAGACGCCGGGCTTTCACCGCTGGATCCGAGTGTCACCGAGAGCTGCCGAACTTTCACGGGGACATCCAACAGACACAGCGGCGCACGGGACCGCGCTGGCTTCGGACGCAAACAGACACGGCGGCGCGCACGGAACCCAGCTGTTGTCGGATGTAAACAGACATGGTGACACCCACGGAGCCGCGCTGTTGACAGAGGTGAATGAACACGGGGGCGCCCGTGCTGCCGCGGTGGTCGTTAAAACCCCCAAATTCTCAGGTAAAGCTGATTGGGAAGCTTTTCACGCACAGTTTGAACTGTTGGCTCATGCTGGGAACTGGTCGGAGGACCGCAAAGCTCTTGAATTGGCTATGTGCCTTACAGATGATGCTCTGAACTGTTTGTTATTGCTTTGCCCTGAAAATAGACATGATTATAAGGCACTTGTCGGGGCACTGAGACAGCGTTTTGGTCAATTTGAACAGCCTGGGCTTCTGCGTTCCGAACTGAGTAATAGACGCAGGCAGCCAGGAGAGCAGCTGAGAGCCCTGGCAAATGACATTGAAAATTTGACTCGGCGAGCGTATGCCCACATGCCACCGACTGTTCAAGGGGAGCTTGCGAGAGACCAATTCATCCAGGCCCTTATTCCTGTGGAGCTCTGTAGGCAGACACAGCTTGCCCATGACAGTGTCCTAAGCTAGCCAGAAACCAGGGAAACGGGATGGGGTCCGCATGATCGGGGATGTGCAGACCCCCAACACTCATCCCCACCAGGGTTCATCATCTGCAGAAGTTCCAAGAAATGGATTACGGGAAGACGATCATGGACTGTTGGGGGAGGGTTGTGGGATTTGCTGGTAGATTTCCAACATTGTTTTGCATTTGGGGAAGGGGATGTGGGGCGAACACATCTGGTACAGCACAAAATTGAGCCCGGAGGCTTCCTTTTGCCCATCAGGATACTGCAGATAAGGCCTTGTTGGATTTGCAGCGAGCGGGTATTATTGAGCCGTCTGAGAGTGCATGGGCCGCACCGGTGGTCATGGTGCCTAAGAAGGGGGGTCAGTTGAGATTTTGTGTTGACTATAGGCGCCTTAATGAGGTCACTAGGAAGGACTCGTATCCCATCCCTCGTGTGGATGAATCATTGGACCTTGTAGCTGGGTCGTCGTGGTTCACTTGCCTGGACCTGCGTACTGGCTATTGGCAGGTACCACTTGCTCCGGAAGCCAGACCAAAAACTGCTTTTTGTACAAGTAGGGGGCTATGGCAGTTCAGGGTGCTCTGCTTTGGCCTCTGCAATGCGCCGGCTACTTTTGCCAGGTTAATGGACAGGGTGTTATCAGGTATTCCACGGTCAGAGTGTCTGGTGTACCTGGATGACATCCTGGTCCATGGTAGTTCTTTTCAGGCCTCTCTAGAGGCTCTCAGGCGAGTGCTGAGTTGAGTGGTAGACGCATTGGTAGATGGCATGTTCTGCCGCTTCGGGGTAGCAGAAATGGTACATAGTGACCAAGGCCGAAAATTTGAGTCACGTGTCTTTGCGGTAATGTGTGACAAATTGGGGATCCACAAAACCAGAACCACCCCTTTGCACCCTCAAAGCGATGGCCTCGTAGAGAGGTTTAATAGGACCCTGGCAGCGCAGCTGGCCATTGTGACTGCTAAACATCAACGAGATTGGGACAGGCACTTGCCGTTCATTCTAATGGCATGCTGATCTGCTGTGCAAGACTCAACCTCTTGCACACCTGCCCTTTTGATGTTGGGGCGCGAGATCAGAACACCAGGAGAAATGGTTTTTGGGAGGCCACCTGATGCACCTGCTGTGCCCCCGGGGCCTGAGTTTGCTAGAACTCTTCAGAACTCATTTAGATGGCATGTTCTGCCGCTTCGGGGTAGCAGAATCGGTACATAGTGACCAAGGCCGAAACTTTGAGTCACATGTCTTTGCGGTAATGTGTGACAAATTGGGTATCCACAAAACCAGAACTACCCCTTTGCACCCTCAAAGCGATGGCCTCGTAGAGAGGTTTAATAGGACCCTGGCAGCGCAGCTGGCCATTGTGACTGCTAAACATCAACGAGATTGGGACAGGCACTTGCCGTTCATTCTAATGGCATGCTGATCTGCTGTGCAAGACTCAACCTCTTGCACACCTGCCCTTTTGATGTTGGGGCGCGAGATCAGAACACCAGGAGAAATGGTTTTTGGAAGGCCACCTGATGCACCTGCTGTGCCCCCGGGGCCTGAGTTTGCTAGAACTCTTCAGAACTCATTGAAAGTCGCTCAAAATTTTGCAAGGAAGCAGTTGGTGAAAGCGGGGGCCCGGCAGAAGCGAAATTATGACCTAAAAACAAAAGGGCGGCATTTCACAGCGGGAGAGTTGGTGTGGGTTTACAGCCCACAGAGGAAGAAGGGCAGGTGCCCTAAGCTCGACTCCCAGTGGGTCGGGCCATGTAGTGTACTAGAAAGAATTGGCGAAGTTGTTTACCGGGTTCAGTTGCCTCCAAGGGGTAGGAAGGTGGCCATGCACCGGGATAGATTGGCACCTTACAAAGGAGGGGCCACTTCAGCCATGACGCCGGCCTCCGCTACGTATATACCTGTCCCAGAGAGCGAGGCAGGACCGCAGCCGAGCACAGCCAGTACTCTGGCAGTCCCCCATGCAGCCACACCGGTTCTTGAGCTGCAACCGTTGCATTTAGATAGTCCGGTGACAGTAACACAGGTGGGGCAGCCACAGCCTCAGAGAGTCCGAAGGCCGCCGGGACGGTTCCGGGACTTTGTTCGTTCCCTCGGGGTCGAGGAACTCTGTGAGGGGGGGGGGCAGTGTAGCAAGTTTGAAAAAGTGTGTTATGCTGTCAGGTGTGATTTAAGTCAAATATGTTCGGTTCATATGTTTTGTGTTCTTTTTGCATGGGGTCTTTAAGGGGTGGGTGTTCTTCTGAAGAACGAGTCTGCGCACTCGTGTGTGGGTGGAGTCTGGGGGAAAAGGTTCTGGAAGTTTCGGAGTTCAGGGTGAGAGTTGAGCTCAAGCGTTGGGTTCGCCTCGGGCGCTCTCGTGAATAAAAAGCAAGCTACAAAAGAAACCCGTCAAGTTGTCGTTTCACTTACTGGATCGCTACAATATTTAGTCGTCATCTTCGTTGACGAAATTAACACTGATGCAAGGACATTCACCTTTTTCTCCTTCAACCACTGTGTGGTCAGTTTTGCTGTGTGCTTTGGGTCATTGTCATGTTGGAAGGTAAACCTTCCCATTGGCCCCATTCAGTTCAATTTGCCCTAATTCAATTTTAGTCTCATCTGCCTCGGAATCTTCAAGGTGCGTTTTGGCAAAGTTCAGTCATGACTGAAATTAATATATATCTACCATCACTTTAAATCCTTTAGCTATCACTTATTTATTTCTTATGTCTGCATTTAGCATTTGGAAAATGTAATTTAAGGTTGTGTATAAATCAGAAAAGGCATTATTACACTAAATATTGATTGTAGTGTGGAACACTGTCAGAAAAAAAGGTACAAAAGATGGCACCCTTTCAAAGATACTAATATGTACACTTTAGGTACTAATATGTACTTTTAAAGTACTAATATGTATCGTTTAGGGATAAATAAGTTACAAAGATGTACCTTTTAGCTTTTCTACCTTAGGGTACTGACCCAGTGAGAGCTCTATACCTTTTCTGAAAGTGTATTTGAAATTATAAATACAGGTCCCATTAAGGGAATGCACAGCTGAATGAAAAAAAAACATTCTTTCCAGAGAGTTTTTCTTACTTATATGCTGACGTTAAAAAAAAATTCTATATAGTATGAATATAGCTAATGAATATCACAATTCCTCTTTCGAGGCTTATTGGGATAGCCATAAAGTGTTCATCTGGGTACTTTTCATCTACTGTTTTTCAAATACTGTGAATTTGGACATACTACTCATTTGCTGTACTATTTTTCACATACTATATATTATGGAAGTATGCTTTTTCGGATTGTACAGCACCAGAGATAGTGTGAATGAGCATTATGTGTCAGTTTTGTGTGTAGGCCCATATATGGTGGGGGTAAGAGACTTGAGGGACTACGTGTTACATTTGAGGTAGGCACATTGTTTTCCCATTGTGCTTAAGGCAAACCCAAGATCCCTTCAATCTCTCAACTATTATGTCACTCTTTAAGACAGCAGATGCCTTTGCTGCTGTTTTGGAAGGTTTATTCGTACTGTATAAAGCTAATTTATGTGTGAATATACGGAAAGTAGTCGGTTTATGAAGGCAGAGGAGGATAATAGAATTGCACATGTCCACAGTGCATACTGTGATGACTCATAGTTTATTTTGTAGAGTTTTAAAGCTGTAAGCAGGTTTGAAAATCACACATACACGCACACACACCTTATATAACACTGGTACTTACAGTGCCTGTAAGCATCGCTGCAGATTACCTAAAATATTGGTTAAATGTGTAGATATCAGGGATATTACCATTATGAAGGCCCACACTCAAAAGCCTGAGGCCCTAGGCAATTGCCTGCTCTGCTTATAGGTAGTGCCGGTGTAGTGCCGAAATTTTCACCCTGCCAGATTATGCACCCCCTAGTATTGGTAGGTTTAGATGTAAGTACATAATCTGTACATGTACATGTAAGTACATGTAGATGTAAGTGCATAATCTGGCAGGGGTGCAGAATTCGGCACAACACCGGCCCTGCTTGGAAGAGGGTGCGTTTTAACACGGGGGCTAAATACACAGTTGAATGAGCTGTATTTTGCATTATGTTAAGTTGAAGGTCCATTAAAATTGTTACAGTAAAAATGATCAAAATGTAGATTTCGTTAAGACATTAGACTGTGTATTTAGCCCCCGTGTTAAAACGCACCCTCTTCATCATCATCTGCTTCTTTCAAGGTTTTATTGGCAGTTGACAAAAACGGAATGGTGCATTACTGCCACCGGCTGAAAACGAGGGTGCCATAACCGGGACAACGCATTGGGTGTGGCCAAACTTTTGCGCCAAGCACGAGAGTGACCAATAGAAACATGTCTTTCATTCTGGTGCACAGTTACCGCTCCACTGAGATGCAGATTTACTCACAAGCAAAATTTTTCATCTCACAAGCAAAGATTTTAGACCCGCAAAAATGACAGCAAAACAGAGCAAACTAAATGGGTGCGTAATGAAAAGTGAAGTGTGGGAACTGCATAGAATATTTATTTGCAATGCAAATATTTGTGATATTTGTTATCCGTTTATTTTGTAATTAAAAAAATTATTTGCAAGAACTTGCAATCTTTTATTTTTCAATTACAATATAATTAGTTTTGCTCTCACAGTATGTTTGATTGAATAAAAAAGACAAAAAAATAACTGAATACTTTTCCAACTGATAAATGAATACACATTTGAATTGTTGACGTTTTTTATTTTGTACTAAAAAATTTTAAGAAATATAACAATTAAATAATAAATGAACACATCATTAATATATTATTCTCAAATGCAGCTTGTTGCATTTATATTATTGTCAACCAAATAATATCCGTGTTGCTTTTACCAGTTCCAGAGGTGTCAAATGTGCATGTCAGTAATTTTAGCTGCCAGATAAATGTAAAATAATACATTTAAAATAACAGGGTTACACAGATGTCAAGCGATCACCTTAATAGAGTAATAGCTTGTCTCGTAAGAACATTATAAGGTAAGACCTGGTGTTATGGTTAGAAATTTATTTATTCTTGCTTCAGCAGATGACTAGAACATGACGGGTAACAAGCTTTGTGACTATGATTTTTCTGCCTCAGAAGTGTGCGAGAGACATTTTAAGGTTGATTAACATTTCACTGCTGTTCTGTCTAATATGTTCTACACCTCAATCTCTTATTCTCAGTGAGGGTGCGGTGCATTTCTTTGATCAAAAATACCATTTTATTGTGTTTTTTTTTCATTACTTGAAATGATTTCTGAAGGATCATGTGACACTAAAGACTGGAGTAATGGCTGATGAAAATTCAGCTTTGCATTCACAGGAATAAAATTAATAAAAAGAAACCAAGTATTTTAAGTTGTAATAATATTTTACAATGTTACTGTTTTTATTATATTTGTGATCAAATACATGCAGCCTTGGCAGGCATGTCTTTCAAAAATAGTAAAAAATCTTTATTCCACAATTCAAGCAGTGTGTATATGTGTATATATAAGTTTTTGAATACTGAAGCAGTCGATGTTAAGCATTCGATTTGACTCATTCCCTCCTGCAGAGACTTTCTTCCATCCTCTTTTTCTCCTTTTTCTTACCCCTACATCACACACACACACACACACACACATTCTAGACTGTTCCTCTGTGAGTGAGAATTACGCTAATTTAATGTTTCTCTAATAACTGCTTCTCTACCCAGCATGCACTGGGCCTAATGGCACTCATCATCCTCCATTC